TCAAGTGAGAAGAGAGTGAACAACATATTTAGACAAATGAAAGAAAAAAAGCTATGAACTTAGCAATAGCCAACGAAAGTATCTTTTAAAAGTGTAGACACAAAAATGATGTTTTCAGATATGCAAAAAATAAAAGCCCCCCTCACAACACACTCCCACTACAACTTGTATTAAAGGAAGTTCTGTAGGCAGAAGAGAATTAATACTGGACAGAAATATGTGTCTAAATAAAAGAATTAAGAAATAAGAAATGGTGTTCATACTGTAATTTTACATATGTGAAATGTTATTATTTAAATCTTTTAAAAAGACAATTGACTACTTAAACAAAAAGATAATATAATACGGGATTTGTAGCACATGCAAAATAAAATGTATGATAAAGTTCTTATAATCTATATGCAGTGGCATAATGTCACTGGAAGGTAAACTGTGATAAAAATAAAGATGTGTGATATAAACCCTGCAGCAACCACTATAATAACAAAGCAAGGAGTTTTTGTTAAGTCAAGAAAGAATGCCAGCCCTGGCCGGTGTAGCTCAGTGGATTGAGTGCAGGCCTGCGAACCAGACAATCGCAGTTTGATTCCCAATCAGGGCACATACCTGGGTTGCAGGCCGGTTCCCTGCAGGCCAGTTCCCAGCAGGGAACGCATGAAAGGCAACCATACATTGATGTTTCTCTCCCTCTCTCCTTCCCTTCCCCTCTAAAGATAAATAAATAAAATTATTAAAAAAAAGAAAGAATGCCAAATGGAATCATGAAAAATATTCAGTTAATCAAAAAGCAGACAGAGAAATAAGAAAAAAGAAACAATAAATAGGACCAATAGGAAACAAAAGTGGTAGATTTACAGCTGGCCACATGCCTAACCGCGTAGTACAAGTGATCTAACCAACGCAACGGCAAAGGCTGTAGAACAGCGAGGTGCAAATATATGCTGCCTAGAAGAAAACCACTTTAACTGTAAACACACAATTAGTTTAAAAACTAGAGTGAAAAGATAAATGCTAGTGATTAGAGAATAAAAGAAAGAAAAATAAAATATAGATAAAGAACATAGAAGTGGCTATATTAATATCAAGACAAAGTAGATGTCAGAGCCAAGAATATTACCAAGGATGACAAAAGTACTTTGAATGATAATGAGGTTAATTTATCAGGAGCATATGAAAATCCTAAATATTTATGCACTTATTAACAGAGCTACAAAATACATGAAACAAAAAAAAACTGATAGAAAAGCAAAAAGAAGTAAGCAAATCCAGGATTATAGTCATATATTTCAATCCTTCTCTCAATAATTGATGGAACAAGGAGACAGAAAATCAATAAGAATGTAGAAGACTTGAACACTATCAACTAACTTTACCTAATAAATATTTGTAGACCACAGCAACAGAATACATATTCTTTTCAAACACACATGAAACATTTACCATATTCTGAGACCATATTCTGAGCCATTAAAAAGTCAATTATAAAAGGATTCAAGTCATACAAAGTATATTCTCTAACAACAATGGAATTAAATGAGAATTAATAACTGAAAGGTCTCAAACAAATGCCCAAATATTTGGAAATTAAATTTTACACTTCTGTATAAACCAAAGGTCAAAAAAGAGAAATTAGGAATTATTTTGAACATAATGAAAATGTAAATTTTTACATTTCATTTCATTTCATTTTTGTGGGGGGGGATTCTGCTACAGCAGAATTTAAGGGATATTTATAGTACTAAGTACCTATATTAGAATAAAAGTAAAGACTATAATCAATCATCTCAGCTGCCAACTTAACTAACTAGGAAAGGAAGAGAAAATTAAATACAAAGTAAGTAGATGAATTAAAATAATAAAACCAAAGGGAAACCAGTGAAATAGAAAACAGAAAAACAAAGGAAAATCAATGAAACCAAAAACTAGTTCTTTAAACAGATCAATAAAATTGATAAAACTGTAGCCAGCCTGACTATGAAGCAATAGAAAAATGACACAAACATACTCAACAGTATTAATCATTATGAAAATGAAAAATAAGCCATAAGAAGATAATATTACATTCCTGTTACAATACTGAATTTCAAAAGACTGGCCACATCAACTATGGAAGAAGATACAGAACAACTGCAACTCAAACACTGCTGGTGAAAATATAAAATGATACTAATGCTTTGGAAAACAGTTTGCCAGTTTCTTTAAAGGTTAAAAATATATGATCTAGCCATTCCACTCCTGGGCATTTTTATAGAAGAAATGAGAGAATATGTCCACACCAAGATTCATACACAACATTTATAGCATCTCAAAATTGGAGATAAGCCAAACGTTCATCAATAGGTGAATGGATAATCAAACTGTGGTTTATCCATGAAAACAGAATACTACCACTCAGCAATTAAAAAACAGAATGAATTAGTAACACATGCTAAAACATTGATGAATTTCAATGATGTCAAATATAAGAAACAAGACTCCCTGAAAAAGTAGATACTATAAGATTCCATTCATATAAAAATAAAGAAAATGTAAATTAATTTATAGCGATCATCAGTTGCCTAACGGAAAGGCACGAAGGGAGGGTCAGGAGGGCGGGATTATAATCAGGAAAGTTTTGGGATGGGGAATATGTTCTTTTTCTTAAAAATGGTGGTGGCTAACCAAGGGTATACACACTGAAGTCAGAACTTACCAAATTGTACACTTTAAAAGTGTGCAATTCATTGTATATCAGCTGTGTTTCAATTACACTATTTAAAAGATCAGTGAACAAATATGAGTAAATACATACATAAATCAAAAGTTTATTTCTATCAGTCATTCACATTAATCAATATAGGAAACACTAATTTATTTGGGCCTTGGTAAAAACATCAACAAAGGTAAGAGGATCCATTTGAATTTATTATATTTTGTCTAAAATTAGCCTAAAATATACTACATGGTTTGGTTTTTTTTCACAAACTCATTAAGAAAACAAGACATTATATTTCCAAAAAAATTACCTACAATAAAAAAATTCACTGTAGGACTTTCTCTTTCCCAATATCTATATTAATTCTGTAGCCATGATATTTCTAGTTTTGAGATTAATTCTGTACAGTAAAATTTTGATACACTTTGGACTTATTTTTTTACACGATTAATATATTGGAATGACTTAAGATCTTTCTGTTTGTGGTTCAGGTCAAACAGGATTGAGAATTTCTGATCACTTATGCCCAAACCCTACAGAAGCAAGGGTTATACTGTAACAATGTGTTCATTGTGAGCTGTACCCAGTACATGTGACAATCTGAATTTGTTCCAGCTACAGTTATAATTCACCTTTGAAATTCAATGCATGGAAAATAGAAAAAGATTGGGGTGCTTCAGAAAGGGATAAAGGAAGGTATATTTGGTTCTACCAAATATAGGAAGGTATATTTGTTTTTTTTTTCTCAAACTAAAAACCTGTCTGAGGTTTTTTTTTATCCCGCTCACTTTCCCAGGGGAAAAATCAATCCCTCTTTCCCTCTGCCATGTCATCTTTCCATCTACGTAAAGTCTGAATACTAAAAAAGACTCTTACACTGAAGTAGGCCAAGTACCAGCTAAGCATATAAAGTCATTGAAATATACAATACACTTAAGTTCAGGTTCATATTGCTTAAGTGCCATATTTAACATTACCAAGAGCAAGTCTTCAGTGGGTCTGTAAATTGCTGTCTAATATGTTTATACATATTTTTAAATGTGTATCTTCAAGCTTTAATGCCTATACCCTTATTTATCAATATCCTTTGTTTCAAAAACTTTTTCAAAACTGTCACAAACACTGTGCTGTGTGTGTTTATAGATCTGCTTTTTCCACATAGGGTGTTCTCTAATTGCTTTATATCCAAACTGATCAGTTTGGATCCAACTACATCAGTTTGTGGTTTCCTCTCTTCACCCCCAAACACTGAAAGAGAAACAGTGTGGGAAAGATCTCGAAGGCTTTGAACTCAGAGGTTCTGGGCCCCAAGGTCACCACACACTGACTTCAACCTTGGGTTGAAGTTTTTAACCTCCCTCTGCCTGTTTCTTCAAACAGTAACGTAGGGATGATATTCATAGGGTTGCTGTGAGGATTAATCAAGGGAATAGGATGAAGCTCTTAGCCAAGAGCCCGGCCCATGGTGAGTTCTCAAAAAACAAAAACTATGTTGGAACTACAAATTTTTAGAGTTGTGCCCAACTATTTTAAATTATTTTATTATATAGGAACATGTATACAATGCATCTTAGCAGAAATGGAATACTGAACAATTTTTAAAAGATTTTATTTATTTATCTTTAGAGGGGAAGGGAAGGAGACAGGGAGAGAAATATCAATGTACAGTTGCCTCTCGTGCATTCCCTGCTGGGAATTGGTCTGCAACCCAGGAATGTGCCCTGACTGGGAATCAAACTGTGATCCTTTGGTTCACAGGCCCGCACTCAATCCACTGAGCTTTACCAGTCAGGGCTAAATAATTATTTTTTGTGACCAAAAGAAATATCTCTTGGAAAGGCAGAGAAAGCCTTAAAAATATATATAATTAAGCAGAAAGGAACTAGTTTAAATTCCAGCTTTGGCATATTGTCTACAACAATTTCTATACTTTTATCTGTCTTACAGAATAATGTCCCTTTCACTTTGAGGAAAAGCCATAAAATTGAGTGACATTTCTCAATATATCAGTCACTAATAATCATGTATGTCTCTCTAATGATAAACCTAGGGTGCAAGTGTGCCTCTACAGGGCATTAGTGGCATTACAACCTGAACTGCCAAGTTTAAAGCTTGTGAGAATTCCAAGAGCAATTACAGACCATACGAGAGCCAGCCTTACAACTACTTACAGAAAACTAGTGCCAAAAAACTTGATGCAGTTGACCACTGAAAATACCTTGAATTTGCTTCTTTTTTTTTTCAAACAAAACACCATTGCCCTTGATGTTCATCATCCTTTAAAGATTATTTTATTCATTTCCAGGTCTCCTGTTATGGCTGGAGGTCTCTTTGCTGTGAACCGAAAATGGTTTTGGGAGTTAGGTGGCTATGATCCAGGTTTAGAAATCTGGGGAGGAGAACAGTATGAAATCTCTTTTAAGGTAAGCCGCCAAGACCCTCTTCACACTATGTCTACAGAATTTTGATGAGCCCGATAGAATGTCATTATTTCGTTTTGTGAGATGACAGGATGAAAATAGACATGTTGCTTTCCCAAGCCAGCTTTGGGGTGAGATAAGCTAGTTCCTTCTGATGTTTCAGTGAGACGGAGCCATGCCATTAAAAAATGCATAGTAGAAATAATTCAAGATCCCATTTGCAGGTTGGAAACTTGCTTTTTACCCTCAGAGCTGCTGCTCCCTGACAAGTGCATTTGTTCTGAAGCGCTTAGAAAATAGGGATAGAAGAATAAAGATGAAAGAAGTTAAATTTATTGGAGCTCTTGCCCTTTCTATTTGTTCTAGAAATAGCACTGTACATTTTTATCATAACCAGTTATTCCAAAATTTCAGTAACAAAAGAGTACTTTCAAATGATGAATCACAAATGAAGGCTATTTTTATGTAATTGCAAAATAAGCAAACATTTTAAATTATTTTTATCTGACATTGCCCAGGTATCTACTTGCTTTGGTCATAAACACTCAGTAAAATGATATACTTGATCACATATATGTTTATGGTAGAATATCAGATTTTAGGGTTTATAAATGAGAAAACTTTACCACAACATGTGAAGACAACATAAACAGAGCAAAATAAACTGTGCAAAAGGTTGTACTGCCAACCTGCAAAAGATTTTTTCCTGAAAGCAGTCTCAAACCAGAAAAAAACACTTTTTACATTATCACTGTTCCTCTTTATGTAGAGGAAACATTGATTCTTGCGAGATTTATCTTATAGAAATCTCTTATTAAGTATAATAAATCAGCTTTTCCTAATTATTTCCATTGTGAAATGAAATCAATTCTTGCTGAGCAAAAAAAAATGTATTCTGAATATAGCATAAGTCAAACTTAGGAACACAGCTAAACTTTTTGAACTGATGTATAAAAAATGATCAAAACTGATTTTTATGGAATTGTAACAGCTATACTCAATGTGTTAACAGAAATGATATGTTGTCCTCAAAGTGTCACAAAATAAATACCCACAAAGGGGTACTCAGGAGGCATGACTGAGGCTTCAAGACATCTAGAATTTTCTATCTCACTATGCTGCCAGTAATCCTTGAAATACCATTTATCAATCTAGTGCTTTTCCTTTACCATCTTCCAGATACATCTAATGTCACACGTAAACTACCTTTTTTCTTAACCTTCTTATAAATACATGGTTTTAAATCCTTGCATTTACCAGTGTCATTTGGGTTTCTCCATTATAGATGCACACTGTCACATTATCTATAATAGGAGGTAATAATAATAGAGTAATAATGATAGAAATAGTATCTGCTACCTTTACCTGTGGTATGAACCAGATGCTGAGCTAAGTGTTTTATATGCATTATCTAATTTGGAATCACAGCCCTGAGACCTAGTTATTACTCTACTTACTGATGGAGAAACTGAGATTTTTTAAGTTTTAAAGATTTTAGATTAACTTATTTTTAACTTTTAAAGATTGAATAAATGACCCATTGTCACTTAGGGATTAAAATGCTCCATTTCTGCTTAATTGCAGAGATGCAGAAACGTGAATCTCTGACACCCAAGTCATACCAACCAACAGCATTCTAAAATCCACTGATCTCTACCTAATTGCTCCTCTCATTGAACAGAAGCAAGTGTCTCCATTGTAGTCTAATAGCAAAGCAACCAACTTCCTGACGCCCCTGGCAAAATACCGCTGGTCAGCAGATATTGACTAAAGCTGGGTGCAAAGTTTACAATAACGCCTTCAACCGGAAGCATTAAAGATAAAAATAGCATTGCTGTGTCTGCACTATCATCAGAATTCAAGGGATTCTTTTTATTTTCACCGCTCAAGAAAATTTTTTCTTAAATTCTCTTAATGCATGAATTCTTTAAGTTTAAAATATTGTAAAGAACATGTCTATTAAGCAGATGATGCCTGGTTTTGAATAATGAACTGAATGGTGGATAAACTTGCCATTGAACAGCAGGAGAGTTTGCAGAATATACATTTGTATGTGAAATCACAAAGGTATTTTCTGAACCCACCTAAACTTGCATCTCTCACTTCTCTGTCACTTGTAACTATCGCATCTCTTCTGGGTGACCTGAGATTTCATTACCCCATTTTCAATATTTTAGTTATCTGTCATTCTGACAGATATAATTGGAATGCAGCCCTGTCGACTTTGTCTAGAAACCATGGCAACAGTGCTGTGAGTTCAGGACTAAATTGCCCTGGGTTGCTTGGTTGGGAAGGCAGCTTCTTCGGTGACAACTATGTCATGTTGTACAGGGTCTCGTTTTAGACATATCCCTTCATTCTTCTCACTATTGTGTGATGACCTTGGGGTTCCTGTCCCTCCTTATTAGCATTTGTAACACAAGGAGGACAAACTTAAACAAGCTTAATAGAACTATCATTGGAGTAATAAGAATTTTCTCTGTGTGAAAAGAATCAAAAGAATTATATACAAAATCTGGGTTAAATGGTATTACACAATACCATTTAAAATAAAAGTGAAAAATCAAATGTCTGCATTTTTGGACATATTCCATAAATTGTGATTAATTTTACAGCATAAAACACTTCAAGATATACACTGGTCAGCACTTAAGCTTTGGGAAATGTGTGGATAACTGAGAGTTCACTAGTGTATCTCATACCATAATATAGAAAGTATTTGAAGTCTAGAACTTAAAAGCTCTAATTCAAAAGATTTCCATCTAGGGTCCTTATCAGACATCTTTGCTAGTTTTTCACATTTCAACCAAAGAATCAATGCACCAGAATTGATGACAATATTCCATCACCGTATAAAAGTATTTCCAGAGAGCTCTGCTTTATATAAAGGGCTTAATTTTGGTTCAAACAGTATTTGATTAAAAGTGTTCCTCAATTCTTTTCCTCTCTAAAAATTGTTCCTTCCTTCTTCTAACATCTAATTAAATGAGTAAATTTAATACCACAGCATAAAAGCCAACAGTGTAATTTTCAAGGGTCCATTGAGGAAAAGATCTCTCCAGAAAAATAATCTGTCTGCACTGTGCCCCATTGTTAGTATGGTTTAGTATGAATCTGAACTCCTAGATCGCCCAGAATTATCCAGCTGTCCTTCCAAATGTTGCTAGGTCAGCCAGCAACTGCTTGGGAGTAGAAACATTTAGTCAGTCATTCAACAAGCTTTTATGGAGCATCTAATTTGTGTCAGGCATTGGTCCAGGTACTCAATTTAGAATGGCACCTGGAAATCAACACAGCCAGCACAGTGTGGCATAAAAGAGATAACCCACATCTTTAAATATTGTGTACCACTTAAGTTGCTGAAATAATGTTAAAATCATTGAGTCTCTGATTTTCCAGAGTGTGTTTTCATATCCATTTTCCAAAGATCAAAGTCCAAATGTTAGCATTTTCAAAAGATCTGTCCGCCAATTGCTAAAAGCTCTTCTCAGAAAATAAAAGTGAGCAAAAAACACCAATCAGGCACCACAAAATTTAGAATGAAGCCCATGGACTGACTGACTCTATTCCACAGAATTCTCTGGCATGGAACATAAAGTTTAGATCTGTGTAGAAGAGCCTTAAATTAGGTTTGGGCTGCCCTTCTTCAGCCCCAGGAGCTTATCAGTATGGTTCCACAATGATCCAATATTTCTTGGGCCATTTTATAGTCTAGGAAGAGTTCTTAATCACCAACCTTAGCTGTAGAGAATTGTTCATGGCTCCAGATGAGATTAATGTGGGACAAGATGTCCTGGAGTGAGTCTACCAAACCTGTCAGCCCCACACAGCCTATTTCAAAAACCACTCTTAGTGAAGTATTGCACACCACGATCACCTTTGTCTTCTGCTGCTGTCCTTCCCACACACTGAGCTTAATGTTCAGACATTTAAGAAAACTTTGACTTATGTCTCACAATCTTTCAGCTCTTCGGTCATTAAGTCATTTAACAGACATTTATTTATTGACTACAATGTGCCAATTCTGCACTAAGCTCTTGAGATTCAAAGATAAATGTAAGAAAAGTCCCACTGTGAAGGAACTTACTCTTCAGTAGCAGCTTGAGAATTAATTTGCCACCATTACTTGTCCTCAGTATTGTTTGGAATATATTTTATTTCCATACACACAGTCATAACTTAGGATATATACGAGAGCCTCTTTGTTACCCTCCCTTTGTCTACTCTTTCTCCTCTTTTAATCTACCTCCACATTTCATTCATTTTTCCCTGAGTTGCTTTATTCTCTCCTCCTACAAGTTCACAATTGTTCCTAATTACCACACAAATCAAATGAACAAGCTGAACCATACACCATGAAACCTTCCATCAATTACATGCCTAACCTTCCTGCCTCAATGTACACTGCAAACCAATTTAAATAGTGTCTCTCTTTATATCCCAGAACATAGGAATTTATACTTCCACTTCTGTGCCTATTTATTGCAGCAATTTTAACTAACCAGTCAGACTTCGCTCTGTTGCTGAGAAATTTGTTTATCTTCTCTACAAATATTAATCAGCAACCTTTACCAGGAGTCCATGAACCATGCAAGCTAGATTCTGCACAAAAATGCAAAGGAAACCTGGTAGAAGCCATTGGATCAAGTAGAATTGAGATGAATATTTCACCCATTAAACATAAAGAGCAATTCAAGCAAAAAAACATGTTAAGAATTTCATCTAAAGTAAAACAGAAAAATGGACTTTTAGTCACCAATTTTCTAATGCAGAAGAGCCCCTCTTTGTGTGGGTCCACCAACTGCACTGAAGTCGGGGAGCATAAACCACACCCCTAGTGCGTTATCTGTGAGTTCGAGTTTGGGTTCTTGTAAATCAGAATAAGAGTTTATCTTAATGCAATAATAAAATCCTTCTGAATTTTTAATGATTTTTACTTAACCTTTTATTGTTACTTTGCCCACATCTAATTTGACAGCAGTTTTTAACAACTCAAACCTTTC